CACTGAGACCCCATCGCTATTTCAGAAAGTCCACTGTGATACAATGGTCATGTCGACATCCTCCAACAAGAGAAGATATATTGTACATGCAAGGGATTCTCTCTCCTCATGGCCAGAGGCTCGAGCATTGCAGCATGAAAATGCAAAGGCTATAGCTATATGGTTCTTTGAGGATGTAATATGCAGATGGGGTTGTCCATCCGAGATAGTAACGGACAATGGCGGTCCCTGGGTAGCTGTTGTACAGTGGCTAGCTGCCAAGTATGGCATCTCTGGCATAAAGATCTCTCCATACAATTCACAAGCAAATGGGAAGATAGAGAGAGGGCACTGGGATGTACGACAGGCATTATACAAAGCTACAGAAGGAGATGTACGGAAATGGTTCTATTTTCTGCCTCATGTTCTTTGGGTAGACCGTATCACCATAAAGCGAGGGACAGGATGCTCACCATATTTCATGGCACTTGGAGCACATCCTATTGTACCTTTGGATGTTGTGGAAGCTACTTGGCTAGTAAAACCACCTAGTGGAATCCTAAGTACAGCAGAGCTTATTGGAATGCATGCACAAGCACTAGCTAAGCATGCACAACATGTCTTAGCAATGAGAGAGAGAGTTAGTAAGAATAAGCTTGATGCTGTTCTTCGATATGAACGGGAGTACAAAGCGACTATAGTAGACCATGATTTCAAATCTGGTCGTCTAGTTCTTATGCGTAACTCCCGTGTGGAAGATAGTCTAGACAGTAAGATGGATCCTCGCTATTTAGGTCCCCTGGTTGTGATTCGGCGGACTAAAGGTGGATCCTATATTCTTGCAGAATTAAATGGTTCTGTCCTGGGTGGGAGAGTCGCACAGTTCAGAGTAATACCATATCATGCAAGGCAAAAGATTGAGTTACCACAGAAAATCCATGACTTAATTGATGTGAGTCCACAAACTCTGGAGGAGCTTGTGAATGATGATAAGTCTGTGAAACAGGAATACCAGTATCAGCCCCTCGGAAAGAACTTATATGGCATTGACCGGATCCAGTTGCAAGATGGGGAATCTGACTCAGACTTGTCAATTTCAGAACTTGAAGGAGAAGAATATCCTCCAGATGTGGAAAATGATGAGTTTGATGATGAAAATAATAGTGCCCCCATTGCTAGCAGACTTAGAAATGCTAGGATTGCAACCAAGTAGAAAGACAAAATGCACCATGATAAATTGCAATGTAAGGACAGTGAGTGCTAGAAGAAATTCTAGGCAGCTGGTAACTGAGTAAAGACAGACTAGAACAGTATAAAAATCGAGTAAAGACAGGCTAGTTAAAGGGCAATGCCAAGTAAAGACAGAGAAGAACAGAAAAACTCTTGGGACATTGGAGTATGATTAAGCAGAAACATAACCAAGAGGCCGTATTTCCTCTTCAAGAGATGGAGGAGGAAGGCGAAGTTCAAGCTGCTGAACCACCTCTCGGTGATGAGACACCACAAATGCACGATATTGGAGCAAATACTCGATCTTATGAGTGGTAGCAACAATATCGTTGCGAAGGTCACCCTCACGAGAGCGCAAGACTGCCTCAGAAGGGTTGAGATGGTCACCATCCTTGACCAAGGTACTGGCCTTCGATAGAGTGTCAGCACTAGCCTCGTTATTAATGGCTAAGTCAACAGCTGGTCAGAAAGCAACTTTAGAGAGTGTTCAGAAAAGAAATGTGAGTATTACATACCTGCAAGAGTGAAAGCGGAATCCCCAAAGGCATGCAGAGAAGCAACATGAGGACGCTTCCTAGCCTGGATGGCAGCTTCGTTGGCCTTGGCTTTAGCCACAGTCGCCTCAGCAAGCTGGTAGAGACGTGATGATAAGTCCATGCCGGGCACTTCAGCGTATGGGAGTAATATCACCTCAGGACGGACCTCTTTGCTTCGCTGGGGAGAAACAAGAAGGATATTGAATAAGAGGAAAGGCAGAGTAAAAGAATATGCATACCACATAGGTCTTGCTCTTCTTCCTGAATCTTGGAAGGGGGACCTTGCTACCATCAACGATGTTGCCAGAAGAAGGGTCATGATTGACGACAATCTCAACCTCATCATCAATGGCCATCTGCTGAAATTTGGCAAAGACGGCGTCAGTGGTGCGGTCGATGTATGCTAAAGAAAAATGACAGCACCATGTCAGCCTGAGTTGGGTTGCTGGGAACATCTGGATTACCCATGATAGTGTCCTCTTCAATGACCGCAGCAACACTAGCCTCATCGTCAGAAGAATCGTC